GCTCTTTGTTAAGTATATAAATAAACAAATAGTAACAGATGCATTGCATGAGACGTGGCCTTTCCGATCAAACCCTGATATGATACGTACACGAAAGCAAACAAATCCGCAAACAAACAGAAACGTATTCATATTTTTTGCAATATTTGTTTTTAACTTTTTTCCATTTGTGGGTTTGATCGTTATCGTGAAGGTGCGTGGCGAGCTTATCGATTTCTCTGTTTTTGTTTTTGTGTTAATGGTTCCTGTCTTTGTCTCTCGGTCTCAATTCCTTTTTTTTTTTTTCCTGAGTTTTTCTGTTCTGTCTTTTTTTGGGTAATGCCCAGATTGTTCAGTATCCCAAAAGCTTTGATCAAATACAATTCGAAGGAATTCCCAATTCCTGTTGTGCTTATTGCTGGGAATAATCTTGCGGCTGAAGTAACTCGGAGATTTCGCATGATCGCCTGAGATTCTTGTATTATACGCTCTTGGTATCATCGATCTTTGGATTTCATGTACTTTTTGTTAATTTGCTTGCATTTGGCATCACAATTTTGATTCCCTTCGGATTTCGTTGGTGGGTTTCTTCTTTTTTTTGGCCGGAATTTGGTACATCGTATATTCTCTCATTTGAAAAAAAATAAATTGGTAGATTCTGGAGTTTGAAAACGATTGAATTCGAATCGTCAAGGCACATGGAAGACTTCAGTGATTGGTAGATTCTGGAGATTCGAATTTGTTGTTCTTTGTTCTTCACCTGTAAGCTTTTGCATGGCAGAATCTGCGCATAATAGATTCACAAAATCTTGTGAACTTAGGTCTAATTTTGTGGATTTTTGCAACAACGATTGAACCTTAGCCCCTTGTAGATTCTGGTTTCCTGGAATTCGAATTCGTCAATGCGCGTGGAAGAGTATTGTTGTTCTTCTGTAAAATTTTGCTTTATAGAAATTTCGTAACTTGAGTGAAATTTCTGTATTTTGGCATGATTTTATTGGAACCCATTTTTAGACTTTGGCTTTATCAACTCCGAAATCGACCATGCATCTGAAAAGCATTTCAAGGAGTGTGAAATTGTTGTTCTTATGCATAGGTTATAAAGAAAGAAAGATGAATGCAATGAGTGAGGAGAAGGGGATGATGACGAAGAAGAAAACGCTGGGGAATGGAGTCGTGGGAATACTGGCAGAGTCAGTGAACAAGTGGGAAAGAAGAGCGCCCTTGACGCCGTCCCACTGCGCTCGTCTTCTGCACGGTGGCAAGGACAAGACCGGCATTTCCCGCATTGTCATTCAGCCTTCTACTAAGCGCATCCATCACGACGCT